GGGGGAGCGCTGAGCCAGCCCGGGGGACCAGGGGGAGCGCTGAGCCAGCCCGGGGTGGGGGGGGACCAGGGGAAGCGCTGAGCCGGCCCGGGGGATAGTGTACGGAGCAGCTCTCGTGGGGCAGTGGCAAGTGGCCAAGGTGCCCACCTCCCTGGGAGGAGCTGACCTGCCCTCTCTCACCTCCCGAGAGGGTCGGGCGAGGACCCTCTTCCTCTGCGAGGCTGGGCGGCCCAGGGAGGCCCAGACCCACTGTGCTCACTCCTTGCCCTGTCGTCCTTCCCGAGGGATGGGCCGGGGCCCCGGGGCTGGCCCGTTGGGCAGCCTGCAGCAGGCCGTTTTCTCGCGCCCCAGCTGGGCTGGCTGGAGAGCCGGCCAGGGCTCCCGCGCATCCTGGAGGACCTTGGTCCACACACTGGGGGTGGGGCCGCCCTGTGAGGGGCCGGGGCCTCTGTCCTGCAGCCGCCGGGGCAGCATGGACACTGGTGGCCACAGGCCGGGCACGGTGGCCGTCCACACTGGCGCCTTGGATGTGCTTTCAGCCGCCTGAACCTGTGAGCCACCCAGCCTCGGCTCCGGGTGCCCCCGCCCCGGCCGCCCTCCTCTGGCTCCCCGCCCTATTGCCCCTCCATGCAGCGTCCACTTCTGCAGGGCGCCTCAAGGTGCTACCAGAGCTGGCTGCCTCGGGGAGGAGGCCACGGGGGCACAAGCCAGTGGTGGCAGGTGCCCCTCAGGGACCTTTTATGTACCACTGCACTTCCTGGATCGTGGGGTGGACCAATCAGGTGTGAGCTATGAGCTGATTGGTCCTACATGGTCCAATCAGCCACAGGATTGAAAAATGGTCCAATCAGACTTCTGTTTCCTGGACACCGCGATAAGGCGCACTTCCTGGATGGTGGACTGGACCAATCAGGTGCTATGGGCTGACGGGTCAGTGGTCCAATCAGCCACAGGATTGAAAAATGGTCCAATCAGACTTGTGGGTGGGGCTCCTTGAGAGGGGATATAAGCCAGGGTCAGGGGTGCTGAGAAAGCCACCAGGGCCAGCCCCCCGGGAGGTGGGTGGGGGTGCTGATCCAGCCCCTGAGGACAAGAAGATGAGGACAGAAGACAGTTCCAGCCTCTGAAGAAAGGGGAGGCCGTGTTCCTGGTTCTGGGGAAAGAGGAAAGGCGGTGTCCAGCAGCTGCCCTCCCAGGAGGCAGAAGGCCTCCGCAGGGACGGGGCCTCCGTCCTGTGTCCTCCCCCGCGAGGGGCCCGGAGCCCCGGCCTGGCGCCCCAACAACTCAGGGCTGCGAACGC